ACTCTTTGATTATTTTTTTAATCAGTGAAAATTACACAATACATGACCCAACAAATTTTGTTACAATAAACATTTCATCAGTTTTGATAAATCATTCAATGGAAAGATTCAATTAAAAATGAAAATGTTTTGTTTACGTGTTTCAATTTTTCTTGTTTGACAATAAGCAAGAAAGCAATTTACAAATTTTTGTGGAACTGATTTTTTAAATTTGTTTGTTTTCATTCTTAATTTCTAAAAACGTCATGACGATGTCGTCACTTGAAAACAAATTACTATTGAAATTGTCTGTTCTAAAAATAAATATTTATATCAGATGAAATCAACATGAGCGAAGATTTTTACAAAAAAAATCGTATTACATTTTTGATAATTATTTTTAAGTTTATTTGTTACCCTGCTGATGTAAAAATTGTATTAACACGTCATCGATAAAAAGAATGTCAGAATTATTTCGTAATTTTAGTAACCAGTGAAAAAAAAAATTGAAAAAATAAACTTTTAATTCGTAACAAAAATAACGTTTTTTGAAAAAAGCAAAAAATGAGCCTCTGCATATAATACACATCTTTTATTAAAAAAAATTACGCAAAAATCCCATATACAAATTTTAGATCGACAAATAACTTTCCTCCTTAACTTACTTTTTTTTTCTTCTTTATTTATTTTTCATTACACATTTTAACTCGAAAATCTCTTAAAAATCGAGAAAATTTCTACAACTTTTCAATTTTTTTTTCTGTCATTATTTTACTATTTCTCGCCCTTTTAGTTTTGTTGTGGTGTTAACTTATTTTTAATTTTTTTCTATTCCTCTTTCTGTGTAAACTATAGCAACTTTAAAATCTCTTAAAAACCGAAAGACATTTTTCAGTTTCCTTTTTATCACCATTTTAGAAGATATCTCAGTTTTTCAGTTTTAGCAGTTTTTGCTATACTTTCCAGTTTTATTGTATAGTTTTTTAGCTTACTTCATAGAATTTTTTTGCTATTTCTAGACTTCTGGTTCTGTTTTCTCTTCCTTTTTTGTGCCACTATTTCTCCTAAATTTTTTGAAAACTTTCATCACTTTAGACTATTTTCTCCAATTATCTATTTTGTTTCAGTTTCCAAAAACATTGCAACAGAATCTGCTATTCATATACGACTAATCCAATTTTCGTCTTAATTTGTTGATTTTTTGGTTTGTTTTTACGAAACCTCACCAAAAATATGAACTTTTAGTACAAAAACATGCTTAAAAACAAATTTTATAGTTTCTTGGCTTATTTTTGTTTTAATTTGTCGCAAAAACCATTTAAATCAAGAGAAAAAACACAAAAAATGCAAAATGTCACAAAAACGTGAAGATTTTAGTACAACATTTTCAAAAATAAACGTTTTTCTGTTACTTCTATTCAATTTTTTGTCTCAAAAAATATTTCCAAATTTCTTCAGTCTGATTCCTTTACTTTTTAGTAGATTTTGGTGCAAATTTTCTGTTTTAGCAGATTTTGCTACACTTTTTATACTTTTTTTTTTTTCTTAATATTCTTCACAGTATCGCCACTTTAAGTACCAACTTTGAATAAAATCTCTTAAAAAACTGAACTTTTCAGTCCACAAATCTCCCAAAAAAGGCAAAAAGTCATTATTTTCAGCCAAATTCTGTGATTTTTCGGTTTGTTTTAGACAAAATTTTGCAAAGTAATAGGCGTTTCTACCCGAAAAACATGATAAAACGCTTGAGAAATGCAAAAATTTTATAATTCATCGGTTAATTTGTTGTTGTTTTGTTTTACTATAGCGAAATCTCTAAAAAAAAATTCGATCTTACCTCGGGAATATAAAACTAATCTAATTTTCGTCTTAAATTGTTGATTTTTTGGTTTGTTTTTAGGAAATCTCACCACAAAGCTAAACTTTTAGTACAAAATCATGCTTAAAAGCAAATTTTATGATTTCTTGGCTAATTTTTGTTTTAATTTGTCTTAAAACCAGTTAAACAAAAATAAACATTTTTCTGTTACTTCTATTCAATTTTTTGTCTCCAAATTTTTTCAATCTACTACACTACTTTACTTTTTAGTAGATTTTGGTGCAAATTTTTTGTTTTAGCAGATTCTGCTACACTTTTCAGACTCTGTATACAATTCTTAATATTCTTCAAATTATCACCACTTTAAGTACCTACTTTAAATAAAATCTCTCAAAAAGCAAAGTTTTCAGCCCAAAAATCTGCTTAAACTTTCAAATAAGGTAAAAAGTCATTATTTTCAGCAAAATTCTGTGATTTTTCAGTTTGTTTTAGACAAAATTTTGCAAAATAATTGCGTTTCTACCCGAAAAACGTGCTAGAGGCTTGAGAAATGCAAAAATTTTATAATTGTTCCTTTAATTTGTTGTTGTTTTGTTTTACTTTACTGAAATCTTCCAAAAAACTTGTCATTTTACCTCGGAAATATAAAACTAATCTAATTTTCGTGTTAATTTGTTGATTTTTTGGTTTGTTTTTACGAAACCTCACCAAAAAGCTAAATTTTTAGTACAAAAACATGCTTAAAAGCAAATTTTATGAAAAACCAGTTAAATCAAGAGAAAAAAAACAAAATCACACCAAAAATGCAAAATGTTACGAAAAAGCAAAGATTTTAGTACAATATTTTCAAAAATAAACATTTTTCTGTTACTTCTATTCAATTTTATTTATCTCACAAAAAATTTCACAATTTTTAGTCACTATTTTAGTAGATTTAATTAAAATAAAATGTTTTTCTTTTAAATCTACTAAATTTTTTCTTCGCATTTTTCTGTTTCAGCAGATTGTGCTTTACTTTCAAAATTTATTGTACAATTTTTCCAACAGAAAAATTATTTCAGCAATTTTCTGATTTTTGGTGCGTTTTTGCTTTAACACTTTAAGTATCGCAAATTCTGCTAACTTTTTAGATTTTTAACATCAATTCTAACTTTTTTATTCATTTTTCTATTTCTGCTTCTGTTTCAAAATAAATCTCAATTTTCAGATTTAGCAAAATCTGCTGTTCTTCTCGGTTTTGTTCTACTGTTTCAGAATTTTATTTCTCATTTCTATTATTCTTAGATTTCTGAGAAAACTTTAGCAGAAATTCTGTTATGTATCTCAGAATTTGTAATGTTGCGATTGTCGTAAAAGTAACATTTTTGTCGACATTTCTATTGTAATATTTCACTAATTTTTCTATAGTTTTTGTTGTAGTTTGCTACATTTCTTTAGTTTTTAGTAGATTTTGGTGCATATTTTGAGTTTTAACAGATTCTACTACACTTTTCAGACTTCGTTTACAATCCTTAATATTTTTCACACTTTAAGTACCTACTTTAAACAAAATCTCTCAAAAAACTGGAGTTTTCAGCTCAAAAATCTCGCAAAAAAGGCAAAAAGTCATTAATTTGAGCCAAATTCTGTGATTTTTCGGTTTGTTTTTGACAAGAAATGCAAAAATTTTATTTTTATTTCACTAAATGTGTTGTTGTTTCGTTTTACTTTAACGAAATCTCGCAAAAAACTTGTCATTTTACCTCGGAAATATAAAACTAATCTAATTTTCGTGTTAATTTGTTGATTTTTTGGTTTGTTTTTACGAAATCTCGCCGAAAAGCTAAACACTTTTAGTACAAAATTATTCTTAAAAGCAAATTTTATGGTTTCTTGGCTAATTTTTGTTTTAATTTGTCTCAAAAACCAGTTAAATCAAGAGAAAATAACAAAGTTACACCAAAATAACCATTTTTCTGTTACTTCTATTCAATTTTTTTTCTCTCAGAAAAATTTCCCAATTTTTTAATCTACTAGGTGCAAATATTATTGCATTAAAAATTTTTTGGTAATAATTTGTTTATTAATAGGGTAGACAATTCTCCAATGGGTGTTTTTTTTTTAACATACAAAAATTAAAATTGATTAATTTAGCTTTAATAAAATAACTGAACTTGACAATTATTAGCAAAAACAAGTTTGTTTTGCGATTGCAATAAACATATCAATGGTTCAATTTAAATATTCTTTTTTTTTGTAAACGTTGCCACTATCAATAATTTAAAGAGTTATTTATTAAATAGTCTCATTTGGTGGTTTTTATTAGGTATTTCTAATAATAGTATTGTTTATGTAATTTTGTCATTTAAAACGGCATTGACTTGTTAAATTGGTAATTATAAATCAATTATAATTATTTTTAATTTAATTTTTAGTTTCAGTATAAAGTTGTAAATTTTTAAAATAATTTGTTACGTAAAACTAAGCTCCACTTCAAACTAAATATGCTGTTGAATAAGAAATGACATTTACAATAGAAAATATTTATTGTTGTGGGTCCATGCGGTTTATTAGGAAGACAATCTTTTCTTCGCTGATTGTACATTTCTTTAGTTTTCTAGTCACTATTTTAGTAGTTTTAATTGAAATAAAATTCTTCTAAATCTACCAAATTTCGACAAATTCCTCTTCACGAGGACAAAACTGTGTCAAATAAACAAAATCACCCCCACACCTTGGTGCACATGGTGCGCACCACCGCCGCCACTTGTTGCTCCCCCGGGCCAGCAGACGCACCAGGTGTCCCGCCAACCCCATCGTCGTCGTCGTCGTCGCCCATCCATCTGCAGGTGCACTCACCTGTCGCAGGCGGGCAGCAGGGTCGCCAGCAGGCGGCCTGTGGCAGCGCTGCTGCTGCTGCTGCTGCTTCACTTAGACATTCCCCGCCGGGAGTTTTTTTGGATCGCAAAGGCTGCGGTCGTACTACACTACCTCAGTCGACTGGTGGCTGCCTTGGCTACTTGCAACGCGCTCGCAGAAATCCTGCAAGTCCTGCTGAGAATCGCCGAAAGTGATGTAACACACCAACTCGATGATGTCTCAACCACACACGAAACATGTGAGTAGGTTTTTGCAATATTAGAAAAATCGTAATTCCCGCCAAATTGTCACCAAGGTCGAAAAATAAACATATTTAATCACCGGTGTTAAGTAAATAAAATTATGGTTAATGAGAAAACAAGACGGCTGGGACYTTACCAACCTTGAGGAGGTGAATTGTTCTAGGCCATTAAAGCACTACTATTTTTTCAAGTGTCAAAAATCGAATATA